TTCAGGAGATATCATTATATTGGAGAGATGCCTAAATGCTGACCGTTGTATTTCATCATCGTTAGGTTGGAGTTTCGTTAGAAGAAGGGTTAATTACAAAAGATGGCGGTTAGGAGGTTACATGGGGACTACCCCTAAAAGGGGCCAATATTAATAATTTTTGGTAGGGAGATTTGTTACCAAATTACAGCGAATTCGGTTGAAAAACGCGTTCAAGAAAAATACAGAAAATTGGAGGGTACCCGTACATGTAGGCTACCCAAATAAATTGACCTATATTTATAATTTTTTGTGGAGAGATTTGCTTCCCAATAGGCACAAAGTACTAAATTACAGCCAGCTCTGTCGAAAAATGCGCTCAAAGCCCCCAAAGTACTGAAAATTGGGGATATCGTTTTATAAGAGCTACCAAAAAAGTGCACCTATATTTACAATTTTTAGCGAGAAACCAAATTACAGCGAATTCAGTTGAAAAACGCACTCAAGAACCTCAATGTCTAAATCTGGACCGATATAGCCCATCTTCGAAATTGACCTGCCTGCAGGTAAACGACAACTTATGCATGGTGGAGGGTGGAGGGTATAAAAAGTTTAAAAAGTGCTTAAGTTCGGCCGGAGCGAACTTTATATATCCCCCACGATGATCTTTCAGGAGAAAATGAAATTACAATAAATTCCGATTAAAAACATGGCAAAAATACCGAAGATTGGGGGTAGAATTGTATGGGGGCTACCATGAACTTGGATCTATATTAATCCTTTTTTATTGAAATTTTCTATACATTAGGAACCCAAAACGCCAAATTTTAACCAAGTTATTTCGAGGAATTGCAAACAATTCCCAATACCCTCCAATGTATATTAACATTGTCAATGTTAAAGTCGAAAACCTGAAACAGACCCAATATCTACTCTCGAAGGAAATATTCGATTTGTTCCAAACAACGAACATGGAGTATATATCGGTCAATATTTTTGAAAAAAAAATAGGTAATATGTATTTCACATCTTAATATTAGTACCTAACATCCATCTGGATAAGAAAATAAACACAACTAAATTTGATTTTAGACATCACTTTTAATCTAGCATATTGGTTCTTGTCTTTATCCAGCAGTATAAAAACCACTCCAAAAGTATATTTTTTCATTTTATCAGCAAGGATATATTTGATAAGAGATGATTCATTGGACGATATATACATAGAAATGCCCAAAGAAATATCAAACAGCGGTTTAGTCGGCAATTTTTGAAGACTACTATTATCATTACTGCAGCTCATTCTGTTCTCATTTTTGTTCACCCTTTTTTTCGATTGTACTTTTTTCAAATTGTAAATATTTAGAAAATTTGCTTCATAAATATACTTTTTTTTTAAGAAAATGCTCAACTGGGTGAGAATATTTGTCATATTTGTCACCTCAAAATTTCCTGTTTGTCAAAATTCCAGTGCATTTCAGAGAATATAAAAATCATTTCACTCAAAATTTAACATTATGTTATGGCACCATATCCATAGACTAATGAATGTATAGACGACGAAATACTCAAAAAATGCGCGGTCAAGTGACTCAAAACAAAAAACTCAAAAATTTTTAAAGACGTTTTTTGGGGAAAATGGACTATTTTTCTTTAATGTTTTTATCTGAGGATATAGTTTTTGCTTAAAACTAACTATATTCAAACAAAGCCATAGAAACCGTAAACAAAGACATAGAAACCGTAAAGACTCGACAAAATGCATTTTGACAAAATAGTTTATGAAAAAATATCCAGGGGGAATTAGGTATAACAGAGGCATGTTAAGAATAAAAACGCCAATACGCGATAATGTGTTTATAAAATGTAAATAAAATCAGAGATCTGCACGCATAATATAATTTTTTATTTAATAAGCTTAAGATATAGCATTACAAACGTTTAATATTGTTCTCTCTGTTGTTATGATATCGTATCTGATTCCATTCCAAAATAAAAGGTTCAAACATTTAAGTAAATCAGCATTTAAAATTGAGTAGCGCATTCAGCAGACTCAATTCAGAGAGGACTGGTGAGAGCATTTCGTCGTCTATACATTCATTAGTCTCAAAGACATAGAAACCGTAAAGACTCGACAAAATGCATTTTTGACAAAATAGTTTATGAAACAATATCCAGGGGGAATCAGGCATACCAGAGGCATGTTAACAATAAAATCGCAAATACGCGATTATATGTGTATAAAATGTGAATAAAATCCATAAATCTGCACTCAAAATATATGTTTTTATTTTATAAGCTTACGCTACAGCACTAAAAACGTTTAATATTGTTTGCTCTGTTGTTATGATATCGTAACAACAGAGGAAAAGCCATCTATTGGAAATTGTCTACGTATCAATTGTCCTATCCAAAGACATAGAAACCGTAAACAAAGACATAGAAACCGTAAAGACTCGACAAAATGCATTTTGGCAAAATAGTTTATGAAAAAATATCCAGGGGGAATCAAGGTTAACAGAGGTATGTTAAGAATAAAAACGCCAATATGCGAAAATGAATGAATAAAATGTAAATAAAATTAGGGGCCTGCACTCAAAATATGTATTTTCATTTTATAAGCTTAAGATATAGCATTAAAAACGTTTAATATTGTTCTCTCTGTTGTTATGATATCGTAACAACAGAGGGAAAGCTATCTGTTGGAAATTGCTTACGTATCAATCAAAGACCTGAAATAGTAAAGACTGGACAAAATGCATTTTCCAAAAAAAAATATATTTTTCTATATAGATGGTGTTGAAGTCGACTGAAAAATTGCATTTTTCAAAGCTCTCTCAGGAAAAAAGATGGTTCCTACAATTGAGTGCAATGTTATAATTGTTCTCAAAACATTGTTGCCGTTTTGTTGAATAAAAAAAGCTCTATTATGACATGTAAAAATACAGACATTAAAGATGGACTTTTTAAGGGTGACGGCGGTTTTACAAGTCCTTGTTAAACGACCGAGCATAAACATTACTATATAACAACATTAAGGTTATGTACATGAAATGGAATTATTGTTCATGTTTAATTATGAATGATGCTTAATCAAATAATCTTTACTTCTCATGATTTATATTAGGCAACGTCAATTGCCTCAATTTTGTAGTTTGAATGGCTAAGAGTTGAAGGGAATGGCAGAACTTCATCTCTCTTGTCCACGCAAATAAATTTGCCAAATGAAAATAAAGACTGACACATTCAACACGAACAATACAATAAGGATTTTCCAAACCATTCCTGTATATTATATTCCTGCGAATTTGATATGAGCATTCAATCAGCGTTGAGAAGAATCATACTGACAATGACAGATTTATATCACCTATTGGTTTCTTTCCCTGGAATTGTTCAAAAGTATTGAGATAAAATTTAACCGAAAAGCCAACAATGATAACGTTCGATCATATTTATTTTTTCATCATATATGGCATAACCCATCATGGCACAATTAGTACGTATCCTCATCAATGAAATAAAGATGTGGATGAATTGGATTACATTCGAAATAAACGGTATGTCGGTAACAACATCTTTTTTCACTAAAATGCGTTTTGATATAAATTTCCAAATTATTAGCATCTCTTACTGAAGGAATGACTTTATTACTACTTCACTTTTATTTTAGATGGATTAAAAACGCGATTATCTGCGGTGCATACTGACCTATGAATATAAACAGCTACACAGATAAGATGTTCATGGATTTATTCATTCATTCATTCATGGATTTGCAGATTTGAGGGAGATGACAAGATTATGTGTATAAGCAAAATATGAATATGTAACTCTACCGCAAATTATGAATAAAGTTTTCAACATGAATATTTAATTGTTTTATTTTTTTGTCATTACTTCAAATTGAATTATGTAGTATTTTACACTTTATACCTATAAAATACCTATAAAAACGAATTAATCTGAAGAAAAATTTTATATGTTGACAGAAAAATGTAGGCAATTGTATTTTTATTCTCGTGTGAAAATTAATAGAAAAAGGAGTTTGTGTTTAAATTTTTTCTGATAATAAATATAAAGAATACAATGAATAAACGGCGTATTTTTTGGTGTCGAAGTCAAGAAAAAAGTTTTGGTTTTCCCAAAAACGAAGCAGAAAAAGGTCATTGGTGTAGAATTCTAGGTGTTGATAGTGCTTCCATTGGGCCCGGATCTCGTCTATGCCAGAGACATTTCGATCCATCCTGTATTGGATCGAAAAAATTGACCAAATACGCAAGACCTAGTAAGTACATGTAAACCCCATTTTATTGTATATAAGTATAATCTTTGTATGGACGTGGACATGATTTCACTTTGAGGGCGAAGGAAGAAAATTGTGTAAAACTTTTTAAAAAATAATAAATTTCGTCACGCCTTGTAGGCATCATTTTTTTAAAAATCCACGTCTTGTAGACCTTAAAAACATTTTCGAGGCCTACAACTATAACTATAAAATATTTAATAAAATTCCCAGCCTCTGTAGAGGCTTCCAAAAATATTTTATAAAACCCCAGCCTCTTAAGAGGCTTCCAAAAATATTTTAAAAAATCATAGCCTCTGTAGAGGCTTCCAAAAAATATTTTAAAAAATCCTAGCCTCTGTAGAGGCTTCCAAAAATATTAAAAAAATTACAGCCGCTGTCTACCAAAAATATTTTAAACAAATCCACGCCTTGTGTAGTCCTTCAAGAATATTTTAAACAAAAGCACGGCTTGTGTAGTCCTTCAAAAATATTTTAAACAAATCCACGCCTTGTGTAGTCCTTCAAAAATATTTTAAACAAAAGCACGCCTTGTGTAGTCCTTCAAAAATATTTTAAACAAAAGCACGCCTTGTGTAGTCCTTCAAAAATATTTTAAACAAATCCACGCCTTGTGTAGTCCTTCAAAAATATTTTAAACAAAAGCACGCCTTGTGTAGTCCTTCAAAAATATTTTAAAAAATCTACGCCTCGTATAGAAGAAAAAATTGATTACGTCCAGGGATCGAAGTTCCTCGTCCTTGGACTTAACTCCACATTTTGATAGAGAATATCATTTTCCTTGGTGAGCTTGAGGGTCTCCTGTTTCTCCTTGTCGGCACCCTTGGAGGCTATGTCCACGACCATTTTTTGGCGGTTCATAGTCAGCCAATTTGTCAAATTTTATGAGAGCCTGTAGACCCACCACAGTATCCTGGGTGGAGTCAAAACCACCATAGCTATTACGTTGGGCAATGAGCCATCTAATTATGGGAATGAATTTCGTGGTTTGCAGGGCATATCAGCTAATTTCCACATCACTGCTGTAAAGCCACAATCTAAGCGTCAGAGGTCTATCCGAGCTCGACCACCATTTACGATCACCACCAGTTTTGACCAAAGAATTCAATTTGGCAACTTCTCTGGGGCCATGGCGTGGTGGCCCTATCCAGGGTATAGGTGACAATTGCCTGGGCATGAAGGGATTCAGATTTCTCCGAATTCTCGTTAATGAACTCCAAATCATTTGTGATTTCTTGAGAATATTTCTCAGCATAGGTCTTATTTTCCAGGGTCAATAGGACCGAACATGTGAGGGACACGTGATTGGCTTCTGCCACATAGAAGAAGCCTTGAGATTTTGCCGTAAATGAACCATTTTTGGTCTGTTGATGATCCAAGTATTCCAAGGAGTTTTCAATGATTTTCTTATCAAGTTTGATGTAGTCCTACATGTGTTGTTAGCCAGTTTCCATGTTGTAACGTAACTTCGTTTCCATATTGGGGGGTCAGGCTTTTGGTGTTCTATGGAGAGAGAGAGGGAGGATAAGCCAAAGACAGCTTGAGAGAATTCTAAAGGGACGCCCTTACCTCCAAATATTTTATAAGTTAATAATTCGTCAGCAAGGGTATAATCTCCGAATCGGGTATAATCTCCGCAGGCAATTCCATTTCGAAGAACGATTTAATTTCCGCCTCAACACCGGCGGTACTCGAACTATCTTCGTACGTGATTGATTGCCAATTACTCCGTTGGTGATTTCGAATTCAATTTCGGTAAATTCAAATTGTCCAAGGTGACCTCAGTCAATTTCGATTTGTTCTGTAGTTACGTCCGTTTGCATTTATGGTCATGATGTGCTTGAATGACCTGCTTGTTTCTTCACATTTTGTACATATATATATATATATATATATTGGAAATTTTAGCGAATTCAATGATATGTGTACGGAAAGTATAAAATAAACGAACCACATTGTATATTTGTTTTTTAGTTGCTAAACCAGAAGATGATCAGAACCTACAACGTGATATTTGTATTAAACCCGATACAGTAAAGAACACGGGTATTGTTCCCGAAGCAAAGGGGATGGAAGATGTTGCAGAAACTATTATTCTTACGGGGTCAATTGAAAATATGGATTCAATACGTGTGATTGATTGCGAAAAAACTTACAGTAGAAAGAAGACACTTCCATTGAATCCAATGTAAGACAAGTTAATTCTTTATTTTTCATCATTTTTACGCCATGTACGATCACTTTACAACAAGAACGAACTCATATTCTTCACTAAATTGTAGGATCGATTTTCAAATCCTTCAAAATACACAAATTTAAATTTTTGTAAAACAACATTGATAACTATCTATATTTCATAACTCTCCACTCTTCAACTTTAGGTATTATTAAATTCGATATTTCATACTTATATTTTATTATATTAATATTCATTGTATATTACTAAACAATATGTCCACCTTTCAATTTCTGCAGAGATCATTGTGGCACAAATGCTGTTGGCAAATATAAATCCAATGAGTGTAATGGTGGGTGCAAAAATGAAATAGAAAACCTTAGACTCGAAATTGAAATACTCAAACATTCTATAACAATGAAAAATAATGAAAACACAGATTTGAAACAGACAATTCAGGGACACATTGTAAATGAAAACCAATATAAAGATAGAATCGACATTCTTGTTAAGGAACGAAATACCCTCGCTTGTGAGATTGCAAAACTCAAAGATGAATTATGCAATTTCACAAGCAGGTGTATAGTTCCAAACAAGAACGTATCGACACAAGCATTGACATTGGCACGTATGGGTACCGATAACAGTAAAAAGTATTCACAAGAGGAAAAAGACGTAGCACAAAATATATATTTTAGAAGTCCGTCCTGTTACAAATTTATAAGAGAATCGTTGAAATTTAATTTGCCAAACCATAAATCTTTAGGACGATGGCGCCCTGTACGAGCAGTAAACCCAGGCATGGACCACGATGTCATAACAAATTTGAGAGCACAAGTTGCAAAAATGTCTAAAAAAGAACGGATATGCTTCATGGTCCATGATGAAGTGGATATTAAAACGGGCTTAGAATACAACAATTCCGCTGATGTTGTTGATGGGTTTGCAGATTACAGTAATGGGAGAAGGACAAATAAATTGGCCCATAGATGCCTTGTTTTCATGTTGAAAGGAATATGTTCGAACTGGAAATATTGCTTAAGCTCTTATCCAGTATCGAAAAACATGGCAAGGACGCATTTAAAGTCTATTTTAGAAGAAAACTTGCAAGTTGCTATGGATATTGGGTTGGATGTTCGTGCTTTAGTGTGCGATCAAGGTCCTACAAACGTTTCGTTATATGGTCACTTGATGACATCAAGACAAGAACCCTTTTTTTGTTTTAATAAAATATACTGTATGTACGACTATTGCCACTTAATAAAATCAGTAAGGAATAATTTTATAAAATATGGATTTATAGACAACAATAAGGACATAATTCAATTTCGCTATGTTAAAAAAATGTTCGACATTGATTCAAAAAATGCTAATTTTAAAATGTGTCCAAAACTAACACCCAAACATATTGAGCCAGCGCTGTGGGACAAAATGAGTGTGCGAAGGGCAACTCAAGTTTTAAGTAATACCGTATCAGCCGCCATAGAGACCTGTATACAAAACGGACTTATACCGGAGAGTGCATATCCCACAGCAGTTTTTATAAAAACTTTGAATGACATTTTCGACGAATTGAACGTCAAAAACGTAAATTCCCGAAATCCAAATAACCAACCTATTTATCGAAACGCATCCGAAAAAATTCAGAGATTAACCAAGGCAAAACAGTTTTTTGAATCGATTGTTGTGAATGGAAAGGTCAACAACGTACAATATATTGAGGGATTCAAACAAACTTTGCACTGTCTGATATTGCACAGCGAAGACATTTTCCGAGACTATAGTGAGGTTGCTTTTATTTTGCCTGGCAAAATAAATCAGGATGCTTTAGAAAATTTCTTTTCACGAGTAAGGGGTGCACTTGGCAATAACACTCATCCATCAATTAAAGAATTTAGATATATAATGGCAAAAATAATGTCTTCTGACATCTTAGCTGCAGCCACCAATAAAAATTGTGAAGATGACGATAGTAATCATTTACCAATAGCTGCTTCAAATGAATCGGAAGTTGTGATGAAGAATAGCTTCCACCAGTTAGTAGAACCTTGTGATGACGATGAAATTGACACAGAGGAATATGAAGAAGATAAAGATATAGAATGTCAGGTACAACGGTATATTTCGGGTTACTCTGTATATAAGAGCGCTGTACAGAAAAGTAAGTGCAGCCGATGCCTGCAGTCAATGCAGAAAGGTTCTACCGAAAATGACGCTTCCGAAATTTTTATATGCAACAAAAATTTTAGTAACTCTAAGTTAGCATTAGTCAATCCGTCGAACAGTTTTTTTCATTTATTTTGTTTTCAAATGAAGTGCTACAAAATTGCATTTAAAAAGTATGCGTGGAAGCAGAATGTAAAAAGAAAAATAGCTGACTATATAATTGGACAATTCAACGTTAAATTTAATTGGTTTAACGAACAACATATATGTTATAAACATAGAATAGCATGTTTAAATGTTACTCTGAATGTGTTGATAAATAAAAATATGAAATGGCTTTCGACTAAACTGATAGTAACAAAGGCAAACAAAAAGAAGCTTCAAAAAATGAATATTCCTATTGTAAACTTGTAGGTTGATCTACTTAAGTCATTTACTAGGTAACAAATTATACAATTTTCCTTATTGAATTTGCTAAGTGGCAAAAGTTGTTAGTAGACACGTTGTTACCAAACTTGAGATTATCTTGGACATTTGTAAAACCTTGAACAACTACCATTGCATGTATGTATGTGTGTGTGTATGGGTGTGTGCTGGTCGCTGTTGTCTGTTGGTGGTGCCGAACCGTTCATATAGATGTGTTTGGTTATGGCCATTGGTTGATGTTTTTTCGGGTGTTTGGTCCGACGGGCTGGACATTCGTGAGGGTGTCTAGTCACTGTCCTGAGTGTGTGATCCGACGGGCCGGATACCCGAGTGGTTACGGTCACTGTCCTGTGTGGGTGTGAGATGTGTGGTCTGCTGGGAAGACGTGTCGCGGTGGTGGTTTTGGTCGCTGTTGTCTGTTTGGTGGTGTCGAACCGTCTGTTTAGACGTGTTTGGCTAGGGCCCTTGGTTGCTCTTTGTTCGGGTGCCTGGTCCGACGGGCTGGACATTCGTGAGGGTGTCTAGTCACTGTCCTGTGTGTTTGATCCGACGGGCCGGATACCCGAGTGGTTGCGGTCACTGTCCTGTGTGGATGTGTTGTGTGGACTGTTGGGAGGCTGTGTTGTTTGGTGTGCGTGTGTTATGCGGAATGCCCGTGAGCGTATTCTAGTGTTTGTAGGGATGTACATCTTCGAAAGTAATAATAACCGATATTCCGTAGGGTTCTTAAATAATTCTTAAAATATTAACAACAAATTAAGGACGCTTCAAAAATAGCCATCTCAAAAATTTTCTTGTATAGGATATAGTTGTGCAACATATTTATTTTTTTTATCAGTCTTTTTCCTTCTTTTGTGGTTTTTCTTTTTGTAATTTTTTGTTGGTAATCATGTACGTGGGCAGAAACGATCACATATTATAAGTTATACATATTAATTATCTCATTATTTTACTTATACAAAATATTTAATTTCTTACTTTAAGGTTTTAAATCATTTGTTAATTCAATATAATTATATTGTTAACATTTCCATTGTATTGCAGTTGTCATTTATTATAAAAAAAACATTTTTCACAT